TAGCGCAAACCATCATTTCTATCAAGTTTCATTCAATTTCTCAATGAAAAACGGTGGGATGGCGAATATACCATTATATTTAAATAAAAAAGCTAAACAATTAATTGCAAACATTATCCCAATTTTTTTAAAAAGTGCAAACAAGTCTCCAATTAAATTTATTTAAAAATTTTAAAAAAAATTAAAAAGTGCAAACGAGTCTTAAATAAATTATTAAAGAATTAGAAATTAAAAAAAATATATTTTTTATTTAAATATGAGGGTATATTCATTATTTCACAGTTCTTTATTGAGAAATTAAATGAAATTAAGAGAGAAAATTACAAAAAAAAATAAAAGGTAGGGATGTTTTTCGCAATAATAGTGAAAGGTAAGGACATTTTGTGCTAATTACCCTTTTAATAATTTATTTGGGATTCATTTGCGCTTTTCAAAAAAGTTGGGACTATATTTGCAATTATTTTTTTCTTTTGTTTGATTTAAAGGAAATGATTTTTTCGCCATTTCATAATTTTTAATTGAGAAAATAGATGAAAATGACATTTTTCACAATGAAATGTGAAAATAAGGATGAAAATGTCAAAAAATGAAAGGTATGGACTTTTTCACAATAATAATGAAAGGTGTAGACATTTTGTGGTAATTACTCTTTATTATAATAATATGAGATTGCTCCTGGAAATTGCGCATTATAATTTTTAATATTTCAGAAAAATATTGACATATTGCTCTTGAAGAAGCAAGAATAAAATACAACACTCTCTTGAAGTAGCGCATATTTTGAAAGATATATCATTTTGAATTAGTGTTTATCTATGAAAAAACATACCACTAATGTCATGTCGACATTAATAATTGATTGGTCATTATATGATTCTACAATATTATCATATTTTTCGAAATTGATTGTATTTTATTTTATTATGAAGTTACTCAAATGGTAAACATTACAAAATTCTAGATGAATTGTCAAGACGTCTATTTAGTTGACAGTGCAAATATGCATACTATTCTTCAAAACAAAAAGTATCTGTTGGACTTAATATTAGTAGAAAATAATGTTCATATAATATTGATGCATCAAATATCGTTGAGGGCTTTAGAAGAGTTTGTGTTATTTTATTAAATAATAAAAAATAAAATGATGACATACTTTAGATTCAAAAGAAATTTGCCTAGTTTTAAGATATCAGCTTAAATTGACATCACGTTAAGATAATACAAGAATAATATAGAATGTACCTTGCTATATGTGCATCAAACTTTACATAATGGATTATATAATGTTACATGTCATTCTATTATTTGTTAGTTTAAAACAAAGCCAACTTTTTCTTCAAAATTTTTCCATCCACGTCATTTTATGGAAATCCTTATGTATCATTTTTATGTACAAATAGTATAATTTATATAGAATATCTTTGCATTTCTTTTGTATTTGACCAGAAGCTGATAAAATGAAAATTACCTACACTCACTTTTAGTATGTATTACATATTCATAAAAATAATTGAATTAAATATTATCACGAACCCAAAGTTCGTTGATTCTAAAGTGATTGTATATACTGTGGAAGAATTGTATTATTATTTGGGAATCAAAAGTGTAGAAATTCGTAAAATTTAGACAGCCACAGCTGTGATAAAAATGTTTATATCTAAACATGTCAGGGTTCGATCATCAGGAAATTTGGACATGACATTCACAACTCATTTTTCTTTAAATCCAATGGTTTCTATCAAAATTCAGCAGTTCATTTGTAAGAAATAGCTACGTGAGCAGTAACAAATTTTTAAGTACTAAATGAATAAGGTATTGATGTTCTAAAAGAAACACAATTCGCCTAATATAAATGTTCTAAAAATAATTATATGTCACTCCAAAAAAGCAAAAACTAATACTTATTGGTATTCTTGAATAATATCATATTTGTTACTGAAGAAGCACAAATTTATGCATACTAATATTTTAAAAGAATATTATGATTAATTTAAATGTATCAATATTTCTGAAGAATATGGTTCTATTACTTGTAACTAATCATAATCAAGTGTGTAGCAATATTCTAGAAAAATATTGTTTTGATACTATAAAAGAGTCAATAATGCGTTATGTGGAAGAATAAAATTTTATTATTTATAGTAATTTATTCCCTACTAAATTAAAGAGAAATGTAATAAGTTTCTAAAATGTGTGATACAATTGAAATAACGTTATATTGAACCAGAAGTTCAATTATTGAATGCATTATTGTTTGGCATGATCAGTTGGGTCATCACTGGATCAATAATGATACAAAATTGAAAATTCATACATCTAGGCTCTTGCCGTAATAATGTTCATATGTTTTTTACTTTAATTACGGATTATCGAATTAGTAGCCATGTTAATTAGATGGATATGTTATCATCCATTGTCTGCATACATTAGGTTTGGATGATATTAAATATGTTATTTTATATTTCCACAGTTTTAAATGCATCATCTCTTTTGAGTCAATTGTCTACTACTGAAACCTTGACTAAGAATAATTATGTGAGATGAAAACGAGACCTAGAAATAGCACTTGGTATTTTGGGCTTGGATTTTGAAATGGAGAAGCAGCTTTCGAAATCCACAGATAAAAGCGTTCTTAAATATGTGGCTGAATATGAAAAGTGAGAAATGACTAATAGACTTTGTTTGAAGATTATTAAGCGCTCCATATCTGATTCCATTATGGGTGCTATTCTAGATACTGAAAATACTAAAAGCTTTGTAGATGCCACATGAGTGAGATTTGTTGAGTCTAATAAAGCTGAAACTGGGGATCTGATGGACAAACTGATGGATATAAGAAATGATGGTACAAGTGGAGTTAAGGAGCACGTTATGAAGATGATAAATATATCTTCTAAATTAATGGCTCTTAAGATTCCCATTGTCTTACGAGTCAGATTAATCAGTTAAAGGTTAATTATAATACTCAAAGAGATAAATGAGATTTGAATGACCTTATTGTTGTATGTGCCTAAGAGGTACTAAAATACGGCGTAAAAATGTCGAAACTATGCAATTAGTTTTTCAGCCACTACAGAACAAAGGGTTTTCTTATTACCATAAGTTTAAATTCCACAAGAGCAACAAGTCACAATGCAATCAGCAAAATAAAAATTTTGGATGTCAGACTTCTGGTGGTCGCAAAGGAACTATAAAGAAAAATGATCAATGCAAGTTCTGCAAAAAGAAGTCTCACTAGCAGAAAGATTATTTTAAGTTTAAGACTTGGTTGGAGAAGACGAAGAAGATTTTCACAAGTATCTCATTGGCCTTAGTTTTTTTAGTCTTCTTTTTTAGATATTCCTTTGAATTCTTGGTGGTTAGACTCGGGAGCCAATAGTCATATTGTGAATTCCTTGCATGGGTTCACAAGCAAACAGAGGCTAAGTGAGAATGAAGTAAGCATGTGCGTTGGAAATTGAGTTCAAGTGAAGGTTGAGTTCATAGGAGTAGTGAAGTTGTCTTTGGAGTTTGGTTTCTCTCTTGTTTTAAATAATACAGTTTTTGTACCGACAATAGACGGAATTTAATTTCTATATCAAAACCCGGCGGTTCTGGTTTTTCCTTTAATTTTGGTAATGGAATGGTTAAATTGTTTTATGATTCTCGTTCGATTGGAAATAGCCTTTAATGTGATGATTTATATAAATTATCTCTGGCTTATTTTGATGAAGTCTCTTGTGTTGCCAATGTGTTAAAGAAAAGGTCTCTAATTCGTGAATCATCCTCCATGTTGTGGCATAAACGGTTGTGTCACATTTCAAAGGATAAGATGGGGAAACTGCTTAAAGTTGAGATACTTCCCTCTCTCAACTTCTCTAATTTTGACATGTGTGTGGATTATATAATAGGAAAGTTGACTAAATCTACTATGAAAGGTTCTACTAGGAGTGAGGTATTTTGGACTTGATACATACTGATATTAGTGGACCTTTACCTTCCATCATATGTGGGAACAAATATTTTATAACTTTTATTGATGATTTCTCGCGATAAGGATATGTTTATTTAATAAATGATAAATCCTACATGCTTGAGATATTCAAGATTTTCAAAATGGAGGTAGAGAAACAATGTAGAAAAATCATCAAAATTGT